TGTTCCTAATTTCATTCTTGTTTACATCATTAATTCAGATATTTGCCCAAAGGTTTACATACCATTATGGTAATGTGTAATTTGTGTTTTCAAGGAATTTGATATTTCCTTTAAATTTCAAATACTTGAATTGTTGCGTCATACACAGTTATTTATATGTGTGGAAGTTGGTACCTTTATGTGGGCATGTAAATACTTGTAGTCACCAATGAATGTCATAAAAAAACAACATATTGCATTCAAGGAGTATATAAATCTTTTAAAATCTGTTAAAGGCACAGTATGCCTCAGATATTCATATCTTTTAATTTCTTTAGAATTTTGTTCAAATTAGGGATTAACAGCATGTTAGATGTTGTGCGACTGATAAAAGTAGCGCTAAACATCCAATTATGTGTCGTTCAGGTAACAAAATATAAACAAAGTAGTATTTTGACTTCCATGCAAAATACTTATTCAACATAGAATTATACAAATTGTAAATTAACAGAACTAAAGATTAAAGATGCAAAAGATAGTTCATGTATATATAGCAGATGAGTATGTTCTAGGAAACTATAACAAGATATCAAAAATAAACAGTTTCTGAGAAATACAAATTATAGCATTTTTGAGGCATAATGGGCCTTAAACTTAGATTTTATTTAATGATTACATGTATTACAATAAGATTATTCTTAAATAGACAATTAACTTTAGTTTGATCTTCTGTACATCCTAGAAACAGGTGGTGAGAATGTGTAATATCTTTATAATAAGCATTAAAATGATAAACAAAATTACTGTGTTATAATGAAACATTGATTTTATTATATATGCCATTATAATAATAAAAAATTCATTGACTGCTTGCATAGTAATATTAAAAAAACCTAAAGCAGTAATATATGTAATTTTGTACAAGAAGGAATTAAATTTTAGTAGTTAATTGGCCAGGCAGTTTTCAAGTGGAAAGGGTTATCATGATTTCCTGTTTATCATGGCAAAGTCTTGGACCTATTTTGTCCAGCAGTGATAGCTAATAATAGAGATGTGTTTAAATGGTAGTAAGCTGATTTATGGTAACACCATTGGGGTCAAGCGCCCCCAAAAACAATGCTGTAAAGTACTAAAATCTTATTCTTGTATAAAATTAAAAACAAGAAGAAATTAAATTTAAAGTAGTTAATTGGCCAGTCAAGTTTAAAGTGGAAAGGGTTATTATGAGTTCCTGTATATCATGGAAAAGTCTTGGACCTGTTTTGTCCAGTGCAGATAGCTTATAATAGAGATGTGTTCAAATGGTAGTAAGCTGATTTATTGTAATACCATTGGGGGCGCTTGCGCAACAGCGGCCCCAAAAACACTGCAGTAAAGTACTAAAATCTTATTTTTGCATAAAAACTTGGGGCACACAGGTTTAAATGTAAATGGAGAAGAAAACAAACATATAACTGCTGACAATTTCTAAAATTAAACAGTTTTCTACCTTAATATTATTCATGCTTTAATAAAGCAAAGAAAAAACAGGCTAGAAATATGAAGATGTGTCCTGTAAAAAAAGATGATTAAAGGATTTATTTTTGTGTACCCCTTTAAAAATTGTTGAACACTCAAACCTGTGGATATAATTGTAGAAAGGCAGTAAAATTTCATATTTGATTATTCAAATATTTGCAAAGCTTTTCAAATTAAATATCTATTTGTCTGGTTTATTTGATAAGTTGGTTGACATGCTGTTATACGCTTTATAATATTCCTTTTAGGTGGTAAGTTATTATTATATATCCAAAATATTAAAAGACGTAATTCTGTATTAAAGGCCGGATTATGTGATAAATATATGATATGTTATTATGTAAATTATGTAATGTTTTTTTCTTTTGTTGACAATTGGTACATATATTGAAGTGAAAGTTTAAACCAAAGGAATTTATATAATAATAGTTGAATTTATTGCATGAAGCTACCTGTACAAGCAGAAATTTTATACTTTAAAAAGCCAAGGTATTGTAATGTAATTATTTTTTTCTTCTTCATAAACTGTGATAAAGTATTAAATTGTTGTTTTTTTTAATTAGCTTAAAAGTGGTCATTTAAACTTTAAAACTTTCGTCGGGGCTAGCTTCTGGTGCGACGGCTGGCAACAATTTTTCCATCCGCAACAACTCGGATCTCAGCCAAACTTCCACAGAATGGTTGTCATTATTTTAGTTTCCTAGTGCATGTTGTTGGAACTTCATGAATTTTGTCAGAATTGTGACCATTTTATGTTAATTCAATAATTTATGATCTTGACCCTTAAAAAACTTTCACTTTTGAGATTAAATTTACAAAAATGTATTTAATTACTCATGTTCATTTATAGTTCTCAATGAAGGGTAGGGGTGGTGCGCCCACTTTAAGCTCAATAGGTAGAGTATCAGATCTTTATAATCCAGCACTAACAGGTTCGATCCCGGGGAGGTGAAATTTCTTCTCACAACAGTTACTAATCTATGACATCTAGTCTAATTGACCACCAGAATATTGCAAAAATATGTTAAAATCAGAAGAAAAAAAACCAACAAAACAACAAACCAAACAAAACAAACATAAGATGAGGTTAATTGTATTCTGTATTTTTGTCAGTTTGAAACATAATAAGAGGCCGTCTACACCTATCCAAGTCTTGAATGCAAGTATCATATTCTCTTGTATTGGATAGTGTAGACACCCTACTTGAATGAGTTTTAAAGAGAAATTATGTGACATCCAAGAAGATAATTCCTTGCAAGAAATTTAGAACACGTTCTATTTTTCTACAAGTTTTTGGCTGTCAAGATACTGATAACACCGGTTTGACACAAAACATGTGCCCGAAAGTTTGATAGTGCTGTTATTTTTATTATTTTCTGACTTTTTGTTGTTGATTCAGTGAACATGCCCTTTGAATTTCAGTAAATGATTACAATGTCTTGGTCAAAGGAACAAACCAATACGCTGATACACAGAAGAGCAAAAAAATAAATAAATAAAAATAATTTACATTGTAAAAAAATAAAAAAGAGCTCTTTTTCAAGTAGGGTCAAAATGGATTTAAAATGATCTTGTTCATTTAGTGAATAACTTTCATTAAATAAAATCAAATTAAGATTTTGCATCAAAATAATTTTTTTGTCACATTTTTTCAATTTTAAAAAAGAATGAACGCATTTCATTTACTCCATTCTGTTTTAGCTAATTGCATCATTTTCCCGCTTTTTTTTCCACATATTTTACAGAAACATGATAGTCTTGCAAAGACAAAGGTATAAATCCTGGGCTATCTTAATGAGACATTTCAGTAAAAATTGTGCCTGAAAAAATGTTGAAAGGGCCATTTATTTAGCTTATCTAAATGTGACATGTAAGAAACTTGAATAGGTGTAGACACGGCCTAAGACCTGGTGTTAGCCCGTCTACACCTATCCAAGTCTTGAATGCAAGTATCATATTCTCTTGTATTGGATAGTGTAGACACCCTACTTGAATGAGTTTTAAAGAGAAATTATGTGACATCCAAGAAGATAATTTCTTGCAAGAAAGTTAGAACACGTTCTATTTTTCTACAAGTTTTTGGCTGTCAAGACACTGATAACACCGGTTTGACACAAAACATGTGCCCCGAAGGTTTGATAGTGCTGTAATTTTTATTATTTTTCTGACTTTTTGTTACTGATTCAGTGTACATGCCTTTGAATTTCAGTAAATGATACAATGTCTTGGTCAAAGGAACAAATCAATACGCTGATACACAGAAGAGCAAAAAAAAAAAAATAAATAAATAAATACATTGTAAAAAACTAAAAAAGAGCTCTTTTTCAAGTAGAGTCAAAATGGATTTAAAATGATCTTGTTCATTTAGTGAATAAATTTCATCAAATAAAGAATTTGCATCAAAATAAATTTTTGTCACATTTTTTCAATTTTAAAAAGAATGAACGCATTTCATTTACTCCATTCTGTTTTAGCTAATTGCATCATTTTCCCGCTCTTTTTCACATATTTTACAGAAACATGATAGTCTTGCAAAGACAAAGGTATAAATCCTGGGCTATCTTAATGAGACATTTCAGTAAAAATTGTGCCTGAAAAAATGTTGAAAGGGCCATTTATTTAGCTTATCTAAATGTGACATGTAAGAAACTTGAATAGGTGTAGACACGGCCTAATGTCGATCCCAGTAGTACAATATAATGTCCTCAACATGATTTAATCAAATAGGTACATGTATAAATTTTGCATTTAATATTTAATTTAGCATGCTGTGTTGGCTACAATTTTATTCATATCTTATTCTATGATGTTACTGGTGTACTTAGATTTGCTTATTTTTTGTAGAGCTCCTGTGAAGTGTAAAATTTGTTTTGTCACTGTGGTGTTTATATTTAGAATTGTGGCATACATAGTGTAACTATGTGGATAACTGTTGTCTGATGTCTTGCTGTTTCATTTATTCTACAGCTCAACCTAATCCTGAATGAGACGAAAAATTTTAAACATTTTATAGGAATATAATTTGGACTTTAATGTAGGTTAACAGATAAATGTGCACAGCAATATTGTTTTTCAATAGATGTTATATCTAATCTGCCGGTACAAACAAACTTTTACAGCTCCACGCTGCTTTGTCATACACAATAGATTAGTCAAACTGTTGTGCTTACTTTCGTAGCTGTAACTGTAGTTGTACCCACTGATCAGCTAGAACAAAATGTAGAAAAACCCAAAATGTTTATGAAATTATTATATTTTAATAAGCATTATTTAATTAAACTTATTCTTTTATATCTAATACATTGTGTTATTTTTAATTTACTTCAGATATTTTTTTTACAAATTGATACTTATAACTTTTAAGCAAATCTGAATAGTGACAGAAATTGCAGAAAAAAAATCTTATAATTAAATTATATATTGTATTGGTTTTATTACAGCCTCGTATTTACTATTACCTGCTTTTTCTTAATTGAGTTACCTTATTTTAATTTCTTTTACAGATAAATCAGAGACACTTACCATTCAAGAAGACAAGGTCACAGATCCTCGACAATGTGATTCACCATACAAGCAATGTAACAAAACTGCAGACTCAGCAATAGTTGTAAACGAATCTGCTGAAAACAAATATGTGAAAAGAGATAGGAGTAAAAACTCCCCCTTGTCTTCCCCCTCATTATCCCCAAAACTTTCCCAGTACTTTTCCTTTAGTGAGGATTTATCTGAGGCTGATAAAGAGACAGATACTGCTGTGATTGGTCAGGCTCTTTCAGGTGGTGATGAAATAAATACTGATAAAATTGGATCTGAATATTCCTGCAATCAAAGCAATAAGATAAATTCAAAACACACTTCAACCAAATATTGTTCTCAAGAGTTAACTGATGAAGAAGTAGTTTGTGGAGAAATAAATAGAAAAAAGAAGCAATGCAAAACTACATCTGATGGTAAGGTCAGAGAGTTAGCTACTACTTCTTCAGATCAGGGAGAAGCTTTACCAAAGGACTTAACTGTTGAAATAAATTGTGGCAATAAGACTAACACCAATAACTCTGAGCTGTTTACAAACGTTTCTGATTATATTAATGAAACTAAAAGTACAGCAGTAATATTTCACCTTGCTCCTACAATAACTGAAGAAGGCTCTGAAGTCAATTATGAAGGAAGCAAGAAAGATTTTGTGTGTTCAAGTGGCTATGTATTAAATTCATTAAAGAGAACAGGATCTGATGAAAACTTTCTTGGTGATAGTTTAGATGTGAATATTGATTCTACCTCTATTAATACAATATCTGATGAAGAAGGAGATTATCTGTGTACGCAGTATTCAGAGAGTGATTTACTTAATGGTACTGAAAATAACACAGATGATAAAAATTGCATAGGTAGTTGTTGTAAAACTGGTAAAGAAAGTGCAGATTCTGCTGAAAAAGTTGAAAAGGACAGTGGTGGTAATACTGATAATAAGCTTGAACTTGAAACTGCTGAAAAAGAATCTCCTATTTGTGTAGATAAGGTGACAGATAAAAGTTCTGAACAGTGCAATAATGAAGTGAAGATTCTGAAGTATTTTCAGACACAGTCTATGGTTAAAGACGAGACAGAGAGTGATATTTCTGCTTTTGAGTCATTTTATTCTTTGGATAATACTTGTTCAGGGATTGGAACACCGGTGGTGAAGAGAATCAAGAAAACTTTGACATGGACACCTAGAATATTGTCTGAGGAACGATTTTCAAGTAGTAGAAGTACAACTTTATCTTCCAAAGCAAGTTTTTATACAGCTGAAACTAGCGGGACATTCTTTTCAGCACGTTCTTTTCAACTTGACAGCTGCGATAACTTTGTAACTTGTGAAGACTTCCAGAAATTAGAGTTTGATGAAGAGCCTAAATCAAAATTAAGCAAGGCAAAAAATGTTTTAGTAAGAGGAAGGGATTTTGTGAAGTCGAAAATAGATTGTTATCGGAAAAGACTTCCTAACTTAACAAACAACACCAACATAAAGTCTCGCATTCTGTGCCATAACTCTTGTGGATTTTCATGTGTACAAAAGGGTAAAGAAATTTCTTTATACAGTTTACCAGACCTTCAGTCTAAAGGATGCACTGATAGTGGATTAACTGAGAGTGATAAGAAAGAATTAGAAAGTTTTGAACATAATGACTCTACTGACATATGTAAGGTAGGAATGAGTGCAGATTCTGAAGGAGATAATATGACTGTAAGAAAGGTCCTTGAAGAGAAAAGTGGTAAGGTCAATGCAAGTAAGCATTGCAATGGTACAGAAGTAGACAGGAATGGAAATGTGGATGATATAACAGCAAAACATGAAGGTACAGTCAATTGAAAGTCTTTCCATTATCTTAAAGGGTATAAAGCTATTCAAAACCAATCCTGTAATCAACAGAATGCTTGTTCGCTTTAAGATAAGAATCAATACCTAAGTAATAAAATTTCAAAGATTAATGTGTATGAATAATCATGAAAATCAGATATGCAACTACAAAATGGTTGCTTAGTAACTGTTACCCACTTGATAAAAAGAGCATTATCAAATTTTATAAGGAATTGATTTATTCCATTCACTTTGAATTATCAGGAACACTTCATTTAAACTCTTGAGAAACGAACATATGAAAATTTGATTATGCAGGTTTTTTTTTGTACAAGACAGTTTGCCAGCTATAGCAATTACACCCAACAAGCAGAAAACTTTTCATGTTTAGTATACTCCAGTTCCTGGTCTTTCAATGTATTAATAGATAACTCAAATAGACAAAATAAGCTTATTCATTTATTGGTTTCCAGCTTCATTTTGACCATGAACTATTGATTAATGAGAGATGTACTTTTATCACTATTTGTAAAGAATGTTCCTTTTATTAGCTCGACTTTTCTATGAAAAGGGGAGCTATCCTACTCGCCCCGGCGTCGGCGTCGGCGTCGGCGTTGGCGTCACACCTTGGTTAAGTTTTTCGTACCCCCCCACTTTATTTTCGGGGTATTAAAAGTTGGTTTTGAAAACCAAAACTTTTCCCATCAAACCCCCATCTCAGAAAAAGAGAAAAACTCTTCAAGGTTTTTGACAAATTAGGGCCCCTTTTTTGACAAAAGAAAGTGTTTTTGAGCTTGGTTAAAGTTTTTTGTACCCCCTCACTTTATTTCAAAAACATTGGAGGTATTGCTTTGAAACTGACCATACTTGTTTACCATCACGACCTTCATCAACAGACAAGAGGACATAAACTCTGTCAAGGTTTTTGACAGAATTATGCCCCTTTTGACTTAGAAAATACATTGAATATGGGTAAATCTATTACTTGTATTATAAGGTAACTATAATACTTTCACATACAAAGTCAAATCTATATATTATGCTGATTGTACAAAAATATACTGCTTCCTTGGCATAGATTTCTTGAAAAATTATGTTATTATGTCATTTACCAAGGTGTTCTGAGTGACGTAAAAATACCTTATTCTCTCAAAGTGGGTTTAATACTATTAAATTTATTTAAGGCTCAACTCAGTTTTTTTTTTTTTCTTACCAGCCCTCTTTGACTTAAACATTTCAAACTTTGCTGCAGTGTTCAAGGGTATCACACAATTCAGTAAAATAATTCTTCACTAAATATCTTAATGCTCATGGCCATTGTTCACTTTAAAAATACAGAGATTCTTGTATTGCCTTTTACTGCAAAAACTTTTTTTATTGGCAAGCAATAAAAAAGTCGAGCGCGCTGTCTTACGGACAGCTCTTGTTTGTTCTATAAGAGTGCACATTACTGAATTTATAAAACAAATTTATGTATAATTCTGTTTATATGATGTTTAAAAATGCAGGTAGAGGTTATTAAAAAGAATCATTTTAAAAGATGAGTATGAATTCGAAATGAATGTGGATTTTAAGATTTTTAAAGGCAAAGAGAAACATTCAATAAAGTTTTTGTAACTTTGCTTGGAAAAAGTGCTGTCTAAAATAAAATCTGTCTCTGACTCAGGGCCTAATCTGAAACCTGTAAGCCTTGTAAGGTTTTATAAATCAACATACATGTACTTTTAATGGTTTTGTTGAAGATGGCACTAATTGGATCCAGTAATTGTACTTCTCTTTTAATTTAATGAGCATAAATGTACATTTACTTAATTTTTCCTTGTAGATGCCAGTTTAATATTGGGAAAAGAAAATCAGAATGTTCAGTCAAATGAAGAAGAAGAAAGGTAAGCTTGTTATGTTGTAATGTCATCATGGGCACCTAGTTGACTTATTCCTAGGTCAGCTTAAACCTTAGACTGCTGGCTGCTATCAATTGCACTCATGTAACCAGTGCAGACCAAGATCAGCTTGCATATCTTTGCTGTTTGATCATGGTCTGCACTGTGTGATTTTCAGTCAATACATATTTTTGAAATTTTCCCTAAAGAAAATTAATAGTGTAATCCATATTGAAAGATGGACAAGTCCATTAAAGATATTTAGGGTGGTAAGGGTTTACAAAATCGGGTAGTTTAAGAGATTTACTCTTTTGGTGGTTGGCAATAATGTGATCTTGGTTCATTCTAAATACAAAGCAAGAAAATCTCCATTTTATACAAAATTGATGCATCTAAGAGTAAGATAGGGAATATAATGTAGAACTCGATAGAAACATAAATAACTCTTTATCAATTTTATCATATTCAGACTAAAAGCACTTCTCTGTTTTACTGACATATTAATATTTTCTTTGCATGACCTGTCATTTGCAGGCTTTTCTGCCATTTACAGAGAGGGCCATTGAAGCAAATTAGAAAAACAGATTTTGCATGCAGATTACTTCAAAATACAATAATGCACTTGGGTGCAAAATTATTTGAAAAATGCTTTAAGGAAGAAATAACAGATTGATTTAAAATTCCCAGATATTGTGTGCTTGAAAGAGTCTGTTGCAGTCTGGATTTTTAGCTTGACTATTCGATAAGAATAAGTAGAGCTATTGCAGTCACCCGAGCGTCGGCGTCGGCGTAACCACTTATGTTAAAGTTTTTGTAATAGTTCAAATATTTTCAAAGTCCATAGACATATGGCTTTGAAACTTTGCACACTTGTTCACCATCATGACCCCAACCTGTAGACAGGAGGAGGTAACTCTATCAAGCATTTTGACAGAATTATGCCCCTTTTTCGACTTAGAATTTACGTTAAAGTTTTTGTAATAGTTCAAATATTTTCAAAGTCCATTGACATATGGCTTTGAAACTTTGCACACTTGTTCACCATCATGACCCAACCTGTAGACAGGAGGAGGTAACTCTATCAAGCATTTTGACAGAATTATGCCCCTTTTTCGACTTAGAATTTACGTTAAAGTTTTTTGTAATAGTTCAAATATTTTCAAAGTCCATTGACATATGGCTTTGAAACTTTGCACACTTGTTTACCATCATGACCCCAACCTGTAAACAGGAGGAGGTAACTCTATCAAGCATTTTGACAGAATTATGCCCCTTTTTCGACTTAGAATTTACGTTAAAGTTTTTGTAATAGTTCAAATATTGTCAAAGTCCATTGACATATGGCTTTGAAACTTTGCACACTCGTTCACCATCATGACCCCAACATGTAGACAAGAAGAGGTAACTCTATCAAGCATTTTGACAGAATTATGCCCCTTTTTCGACTTAGAATTTACGTTAAAGTTTTTGTAATAGTTCAAATATTTTCAAAGTCCATTGACATATGGCTTTGAAACTTTGCACACTTGTTCACCATCATGACCCCAACCTGTAGACAAGAGGAGGTAACTCTATCAAGCATTTTGACAGAATTATGCCCCTTTTTTGACTTAGAATTTACGTTAAAGTTTTTGTAATAGTTCAAATATTTTCAAGTCCATTGACATATGGCTTTGAAACTTTGCACACTTGTTCAACATCATGACCCCAACCTGTAAACAGGAGGAGGTAACTCTATCAAGCATTTTGACAGAATTATGCCCCTTTTTCGACTTAGAATTTACGTTAAAGTTTTTGTAATAGTTCAAATATTTTCAAAGTCCATTGACATATGGCTTTGAAACTTTGCACACTTGCTCACCATCATGACCCCAACCTGTAAACAGGAGGAGGTAACTGTATCAAGCATTTTTTTTACTATCAAGCACTAAGAATAGTCGAGCGTTGCTGTCCTACCGACAGCTCTTGTTAATCAAGTTTTCAAGGGGGAAATTTCGTAACCTTTCCTAGATTGAAATAGGAATTACCTCCCTTGGATTAGAAATGTACATTCAGTATAGATTAAAATGTATTTTCATAGGAGTTGCCTCCCTTAGTTGTATACTAGTATTAGAACAAAAAATGTTAAATAGTCAAATTGTTTGATCTCTTGAATTGGTCTATATTAAAAGTAGAAAATGGATTAGGGATTTTTGTGAGGCTGAAAAAGCTGTAATGAAAAGGGAGCTTAGAGAAACTCAATCCACAGGATTTCTTTATAAATTGGCATGTGTAGTGATCCGAGACTATAAAAAACATTATATTATTTCATATATTACAAAAAAATGTCTGTAAACATGACTGATTTTGAATAATTTGAAAAAGAAAATACATTGATGATAAAATTTCTGCTTCACTGAGTAAGATATTTTAGTAATAAAGTACTTTTATGGGAGACCTACTTTCGCTGACTTTATTACCAACCCACTTCTTATTTCTTGATACATGCACATGTGATCATACACATGTGATCTGTAACATGTAATATTATGTACATGCGATTTGTTTTAACAGTTTATGTTTTTGGTTTGTTTGTGTGTATGTTTTTAGGTGGATTGTTTGTTTGGTAAACATGTACATTGTATTAGGATGAGCTGTTAGGATAGGAAATTGTCTTTAAATTGTCTTTGGTTAACATGACTGTCTACCTTATGAACAGATATGATTAAAAGTCAAGTAATGAGCATCCATAGATATGTTTCTCATCAAAGTATTAATATAACACAATGCATGTATAAACACCCTTTTATATCATAGTTTGGGGACCTTTATGTTGAAATAAGTCACATTATGAGATTATCTCTGTTGTGTGGCACCCACTGCAGACAGTAGGATTTTGAAGTACAACACCAATTAAAACTCAGAAGTACAAGCTAATCTTAATGTGTGAAGGCCTACTTTTTCTTGAATTGGTACAACTTAATACTAGATTTACAGCAGCATATTTTCTACATCCATGGAAGTATTTAAATTTTATTTAAAGCAAAATTAATGTTCACAACCATGAAACTTTGCATTGCACCACATGATACCTATAGGTATCTAGATTTAAGAGTTAGGTCACACTATGAGATCAAAGGAAAACACTTTACCAGAGCAAAACTTATACATGCAATGAGATAATTGTAAAATACCTTGGCACAAATGGTCACCATTGTGAGACAGTGTGTCCTGCACAAAATTCAGGTCTCTGCATACAAAGTCAAGGTCACACTTAGAAGATCAAACATGAGGTAACAATTTGAAAATGACAGTTTATTTGAATGAAAGTATGGCAGGAATTGAATGGATTACTTTTAATTGTGACAGGAAATTGAAAAGTAGCAGGTCCTGTATCAATATCAGTGTACATTATGTATTTATATTTCTCACTCATATCTTAAATTACATTGTCAATTTGTTTATCTACACTATGAGGTCAATATAGAGTGGTCAATAGTGACTGAGTATAATTAACAATACATTGATGAATAGGAAAAAATAAGACCAGGGATGTTAAGGTACTGTTAATATTTGCATTATCACTACAATTGCTTTGCTAATGTGGTAGACCATTATTATGTATAAAATTTTGTATAGTCTAGAGAATGAAATATCCACTTTTATTTTGTCATCATTTTCTGAGCATTTTATAAAGAATTGCATTTGACTCTGTGTTTAACAGAATTTTAACATCTATAATTATGTCCTTAGTTGACCTTGGTTATCCTTAAAAAGTAATTCCTTTATAAAGTTGGATTAATATTGTAATGTAATGCCTTTTAATGCAGAATTTGTATAGTGGATTTGCACAGGTTTGAATTTGGACCAGTCCATTTAAGGTTGAAGGGATTTCAGTTACAAAATACTTCATTATAAATTGCGGTGACAACAATATACACCATACACCACCGTGGTCAGACTGCATGCATGTGGCAGGCTGACCTGGCTCTATACTGGTGGCAAAGGTAAATCACTTTTAGTTCCAGCTGGTAAAAAATGTAATTGTTGGATTAAAGGAGAATCTTAACTTTATAGATATGCACATAAAATTCTGATTATGATTGTATTACATTTTACAATATTGTTAAAGATGTGATACTGAAAATGCATTGGTTATCCTCCATTAAGTTCAGGCAGTTATTTTGGCAGAAAAAAATACTTGAAGAGACTGAAAGAACCTTTAAGACTTTTTAAAGCTTAATGTCCCTCTCATCACCAATGATCTAAAAGATGCTCAATATTTTCTTTAGGTTTTATAAGTGACATAATTATACTCCGGTATTGGCAAGGTGTTGATCAATCAGTCACTTAATCAATCATTGCAATGAGGTGCTGCATTATATAAAAGATGCACACATCATTTACCCTGCAGCTTACCTCACTGTAATTTTGTCTGAAACTTTTTTTTTATCTACATTTATTTAAAATTAAGCCAAAGTATTTTAACTGAAGCAGGAAGGTAGTCTCCAGCTGTTTTCTTTATGTAACTTCTTTAACTTTCTGCTCATTTATTAATTGTTGGATTAACTGTCAGGTTTAAACTGCGAATACTATGTTTCAGGTATGATGCATCTTTTTTACCTATAATATTCTTTCCCTGGCAGTATTTCAATTATATTTTTTGTACATAATAAACTACATTTTTTATACCACAATGTTTAATATTGTAAGGTGTTGATAATTAATTTACTAAAATAGAAGCTTGTATTTGGGGCCTTGACTTTTATAATTGTCTTGAACTAAGAATACACTATCAATACAAATAGTTATTTTAAATATTTATGTATGTATGTTGGCAAAGGTCAACTTAGTTCACCAAGGCTTAAACCTTTTTTCCTGCCTATATTATAATAGGCATTCTATTTACAGTTTTGTCAAGCACCCATTTGACTGTAACTTGTTTTGATTGATAGTTATTCCATAATTTCCTTTTAGTTAAAAAAACAACTAAATACCTTAAGGTTACGTTCAATATAGATGCAGCA